GGAAGGAAGGAAGGAAGGAAGGAAGGAAGGAAGGAAGGAAGGAAGGAAGGAAGGAAGGAAGGAAGGAAGGAAGGAAGGAAGGAAGGAAGGAGACACGATTATAGTCATTTTTAGTGCCACAAATGCTTGTCTGGATTTGTGAGCAGGGAAAAAATGTAGAAAGTTTAAATTATTTGAATTTGCTGCCTCTGCCCATCAACAATGGACTCCAGTGTTGTGCTGTGTGCTCTTTCCATGTTATGGCATCATCTTATCTGTGTCCAGGCTCCATCCTCAGCTGGGAGGAGCAGARGAAGTCAAGGTCACAGGCTTTACCCACCTATGGGCACTGGCCTTTAGTGGCCAAAGGCAGCTCACCTTTCTGCTTCTTCACTTCTTATTAACCACTCAGCAAATTACCAGCTTCCCTGTTTTAGGCAAACCCAGTCAGTTGCTAAAGCKTTCTCAGGAGAGCTTTCCCGTTGTAAAAGCAAATATTTATATCTGCTGTGCTCTTAGAGGCTCTGGATATGATCAACTCTTAAGGCAAGATTTAGCTGAAAGCTGATTTATGAAAATGAATAAACAAAGCCCTGTGAAGCAAGTTAATTCAGTCTAAATAAAGCATTAAACTCTGAAGAGCACACATCAGATCACAGTATATATATGTGTGTGTGTATTTTATATATATCCCATGTAATTCCTGCAGTCAAAAGCGCAGTCCCCTGGACTGGGATCCCATCTCAGCACCCAGGAAGAAGCCAGCCCTGATCCAGGCAGGCTGTGTCAGGCAATGTGCACATCAGCACATGCCCTGCTCTTCAACAAACCCACTCAGGCAATCCGCTCCCACCCCGAGCACAGGGATCCCTTCAGCTCACAGCCCTGTTTGTGCTCTGTGCCTCAGTTTCCCCATCTCCAAACCCCCACCACAATGATGTTTTTTACAACAAGGAACTTAAAAATCTAGGCTGAAGGAGGGTGGCTAAAGAGTTCTTATTTAAACCAGTGGCTGAGGGTTTGAGCCAGCTTTGTTGGCACTKTGTGCCAGCAATTTCTATCAGAGTTGTTCCTATTGACACAACCCTCTCTTAGATCCTTGCTGCTATAGAGCTTTAGCTCTATTCAACTTGGGTTTTTTTTCTTCTTTTCTGTAAATTGGGCTTTAATTGTCAATTATTTGCTTATGAACTGATGCTGAAGCATACTCAAGCAGTTTTTATTTTGGTACTTGGATTAATTAGCCTTTTTGGAAGAGGGAGGCAGAGCAACGATTCATTCTTGCTGCTCATCACATATTCATTATTTACATTT